TGGGTGGGAAATTATGATCTTAGCACTAGCAGTTTATGTCCAGCAAATTTCTTGAAATCTGATGGGTGATTTAATTAAAACTTTACTGGGTTCCCTTCTTTGGGGGTCACCCTGTAGAAGCTATGCATGGGAGCTATAGAGCGGTGTGATCATTTCATTTGAATTTCATCACTTATAACTTCAAATCACAAACCAACCCCAGTGATAAATAAGAATACTTAACATCGGTTTTAAAGCTGTAATCAAATTGCACACGTGGCACCGGGTTGTTTTTCATACATTTGTCAATAATTACACCTATTTTGGCGACTTTTTCTGAAGAGGTTCCGATTGCTATGTCTACACTCCATTTATTGAGTTGTTGTCCAAAAACACCCCCAAGTATTTCAACAGGTAAAAATGGCACCTTAGCACAATGACAACCATACAATATCGATATGTTAATCAGCACAGTCCCAGTTAATGCCAAATGTGATAGATTGGAACATGATTAAGGAGGTGAAAGAAAAACTTATATTAGGTTATATAGTAATACATTACTATATGTATATATTAGGGTATATAACCTGGTTGGCTACTGAGGCAAGGCCTTTGTCATCGGAGATTATCGAAGATACTACTGACAGCTATTGGATTTTGCTAAAGGAGGATCACGTGATATGTTTGCCTTGCTTCGGTCAAGTATTACAAAACATGAGCTGGGGAAATTTTCACTGTATTACATGTATGAAGGACACACGGGTAGTAAAAGAGTTTCGTTTTATCTCGTTTTATTCGTTATGCTATTTTTTTTATAACTTCACATCTTGACTACGGAAACAGTCTACTGTATGGTCTTCCTACCTATCAAATTGAAAAATTGCAATCTGTCCAAAATGCTGCAGCACGACTACTGACCAAAATCCCTCTCAGATCAAACATTTCACCCATTTTATTCGAACTACATTGACTTCCTGTACGACAGAGAATTGTTTTTAAATTACTGTTGTTTGTTTTTAAATTCACTAGAGGTGAATGCCCCTCATATTTTAACTCGATGCTACATCCAAGTACACCCAGTCTCACCAGGTCTACCAGATCCACCTCCACTCCTTGTTTTATCAGAAATGATAATAAAAAAACAACCAAAACCTACGGCCACAGGGCATTTTCAATTTAAGCACCTATTTTATGGAATCAATTACCCTCACACATTCGGACTATTGACAGTGTTGAGGTTTTTAAAAAAGATTTAAAAACATTCTTATTTGCACAGTATTTCAATTAATATCTTCTCATTTTATCAGAAAAAAAATTTTATTGTTCAGACCATTACTATTTTAACCAGTTTTAATTATTTTAATTTTTTTTTTTTTACCTTAGCTTTTATTATATATATAATAAGTTGTAATCCTAATAATTTTACCTGTAAACAGCACTGAGACGCTAGTGTAGTGCGGTTTTAAGAAATAAATATTATTATTATTATTATTATTTTTTTTTTGGAGGGGGGGGGGCTAGAGGAAAGGGGTTACCTCAAAACTTAAATGAGTGGAACGTCTTTTCAGTGCTTCCCTTGGACCCAACATTGTTTACTGAGAAGAGACATCATGCTCGTGAACATTGGATTATCCACAATACCATAACGGTTTTTACCTGGATCTAGACAACGCGTACGTGCAAGTTGAGTCACAAAACAATGTTAAAAATAAACAGATTGGCCTTGAATGTAAAAAAAGCAACATAAAACATCAATTTGCGCTATTTACTTGTACTGGTGGTAGTTTTATTCACATAAGTATAAAATGTAACTATTCATCATAAATGCCAAACACCCAGGCTGTGTATGCCATCACTTCTTATCTCTACAAGAGATAAAGATAATCCAAGTAGAATACAAAATAACATTCGTCGACCACATATCGTCTAGCTCACTTTTTTATTTTCAGCATGTTCTATGAACGCAGCTATGTTACAAATAACTAATGCTTAATGAGCGACTTCTGTTTTTCTATCGTTTCTATTTTTGTGTGTTTGTCACCCATTTTGCTCTCAAGTCATGATAAGATTGATGTCCTTACTATAGAAAATATTTTAGATTCAACAACCTGTTGTTCACAAAATGCGCACACTCGCGCCATCTATCTGTCCAAATTAATCTCTACTTTTTTAACCCCCTACATGCACATGTGCCAAAGCATACCGAATCCATAATGAAATTGGTGAAATTTTTATTAATTGTCGCTCAACAATTTTTGGTCACTTTCTGCTTTGTTGAACTGAATTTTATATGTAACTTTTTTTGGCGTTTTTGCGAGCTTGTACTTATAATTTGTACATATATAACTGCACTAGTGTATAAAATACTAGTAACCGTTAGGATATAATATTCTTAAAATTCATTTGTGCACCCTACCCAAAGCAATAGAAACATATACATGTATAACACCCATATCGTTAACACCACTTCTGTCAAAGTTATAAGAGGGTTTTGTAGTGGCATGGATCTGGAACAGTATCTCGGAAAAATTGATCACAGACACTTTGGCAGCATAAAGGGTAGTTGCACAACTTTTGTTTTGACTGCATGGAGCCATGGATATCGTTGCCAAGTCAGCTGTCTGCCTCGATAGAATGCTACTAGAAAACTACACTAACGCGTTTGACAAAATGAGCATTCACTACTATTACAAAAACTGTATTATTTGGGACTGCATGAGGTCATCATTAGGTGGGTCACCGACTTCCTCACAGAGAGGAAGCAATGTGTGAAAATCCAGAATACTTAGTCAGAATGGTTCACTATTAATGCTGTACTTTTTGTGGTCATGGTCAATGACCTCAACAGGTTCAAGGACGCCTTTAAATGTGTTGTTGACACAACTCTAATTACTTTTGGCACCATAAGCTCTTCTGGAATCTGCCGCAACACAAACCTTCCAATGGTCACATGAAAACAACATGCCCATAAATTCCAAGAAAACAAAGGAGATAAGGTTCGATTTCACAAAATCTGGTCATTATCTGGACTGACAAAGTGCCGAATTGATAAAAGTCGGATTCGTACAGAAAACAGTTTTTAAAATACTGTATCCAAACATTTCGTAGATTTAGGCATTACAAAAAAAAAAAAAAAAAAAAAAAAAAAAAAATGTTCCTTTGCAAAGCAGGCGCAACAATTTATGCTGTAAAGTTTGTGAATGTGAATGGAAGAGCATAGACTGAATCATGTATTACCAGAAGTTAAAGAACATTTGCATTCCCTGAGACACTGTAAGGATTTAATATCCCAAAACTTAGTTCTGTTAGGTCTGCAAAGACTTTTATCACATGGGCTCTCAGAAAATTCAATTTATAAACGTTGGTTGAACTATTTTAAAGAAACTAATTAATTTAATATTTTATTAATTGAACTTTCTGATGTCATTAATCTATTTTTAAAAAGTAGTTTTATTTAATAGTTTAATCAGTGGATTATGTTGAAATGTCATGATGTGCTTCAGTTACTTATATCACTCTTTTATAACTTGCATGTAAAATCAAACTTTCAGTTGTAAGAATAAAGATCATTAGAACTTGAAAATGACAATATGACATATTTGACTATATTATATAATGCTGAATTTCCTTTGCCAGGCTTTTAATAATTTAGAAATATACTCACCAAGAAGAAAAAGGCAATTAGGCATCATCATCATGATCATCTAAGATACAACTAATAATCCATTGTCATTACTTACGGTACCGGAATCTCAATAAGCATATAATAACAGTTGAACGTCCCTTGGTTAACATTCGGTTTCTCTTCTCAGTTCTTGAAGTAGCAGCTAGGTGCTAGTAAGCGGGCAATGATGCTTTGGACAATTTGTGTTCACATGGGTTATCTATTTTTCTCTCTGTCCAGCAGTATATAATGCCAAGGGTGAATAATCTCCAATTTCTCGATCATTTGAATAGTCCGAATATTTGAAAGTAATGTGTTGCCAAGCCGCATGTATACGCGGACACATGCAGTGAAGACATATTTTACCTCATGCAGGACCTACCTATTCGTGTTCGTAAACTATAAGAACGTAAGGAATAATCATGATAGACCTGAGCAAAGGTATGATGCAATGATACACATAGGCTTTGAAAAAATGACGTTTTTTCTTGAAAGAACCTTTCAGATTTCATAAAACTTACTACTTTGTCACAGCGACGATTTCTTAATTCCCTCATATGTGTTAATATTCTAAACTTGTACTGGGGTGTCTTCGACATTCACGCGTTGACAAGTTAAGTGACAGCTAGGACCCCATTTTAGGTGACAATTTAAAGATTGTCAGACAACTGCACTTGCCATATACTTGATAATACCGATGGCACCTCGGGACATGTTGTTCGAAGCTTTCAGTGCCCACGCTCGTTTTTTCTCAGTATAAGATTGGTTGCTATTTCAAAATTTATGTTGTCCATGGCATGAAATACAGGGTGTGTGCCACGTTACAAGGAGGTTGAACGTTAGCTTACCATATTTATGTAAGACATATATTTACCACATAAATGATTATGAGATCAGGCTGTCTCTCCTGTATATATATATATATAATTTAAGTGCTCAGGTGTTGACAATATATTATGCGATGCTGCACGGACGCAAACTCCTGAATATGTAAAAAATAGGTTTGCTTACAAAGATAAAAACGACTGTCTGTGGTGGATCGTGACGTGCAGGGCAAAAGTGTTCTCAATAGGCAATTCTGTCGTCCAGTGTCGTCTTTCAAGTAGGAATACGCATACGCAAATTGGCACAGCAACTGGGCATATCGTTTACATTCTATTTTACCGAACCTATTTTCTGTCCTCTGTCGATTTTTCTCGGCTAATTTTCTATTTGATGCATTGACATTCCCCACGATCTTCGACAAATGACAAGGCGAAGACACGTCACAAAAAGATTGACAATCGCAGCTGGCATCACATTAATGTTCGACCAATAGGCGGCTGCTTCTAGTGCGGTCTTGTGTTAGTTAGTGGTGGGCAACGGGTGGCAACAGACGTTTCCTCAGAATGCGTATGCTTATTGAGTTCTTTTAAGTTTGTTGGACCCAGCCCTAGATGGACTGTAGAACAGTGGTTTGGCTTCTTGGCCTGTCGTTGGTTTTGTTATAAACGGTGCATTTGTATTGCGAACCAAGGTAAATGTCGACCGTGTAATTTGTGACACAGACAATGTAGGACTTCTACGGCACACACCTTTCTGGCTGTCACAAGGAAAAAAACGTTAATTTTCAGAACTATAACCACGGACCCCGATTGGTAATGTATGTTCACTGTTTTCTTATTACGCTTAACTTTGAAAAATAACTGCCTCTGGTAAACATCCGGTTTATTCACGGTAACATAGGTGCATTAAGATGCAATGGTTACTGAAGACAGTTTTCAGTGATTGTTGCGCAATCAAAGGCAGTTTGTAGGTGATGTTTGCAGTAAGGTAGTGTACGGCAGTTTTACGATCGTAATAAATGCTCATGTAGACATATATCTTCTGCGAAGACTTATTCAAGCTCATCCAGTGTGATCAAACACGGTGCTTTCATTTTAATTGGATTGATGGTGACAACTGAAGCAAGCACGAGGTGGAATAGTTGGTAATCGTTGTGGTCAAAGTGTCCATTTGTGCAGTTGTTCATTTCTAATCCTTATAGATTTTTTCTGAATGCATAGGCTGGAGTTCCGTAATTGGATGGGTAGTGGGGACCGGGCAGTTAATGACTTTTCATATGCTTAATTTAATAACTTGGGGCGTACGGAAACAAATCCTTGTAACGCACTTATTTTATGTGTATTAAAATAGGCAAGTCAAATAACATACAACTCTGACGAAATTTAGTGTTTATAATGAATGTATATTTATAGTTTACCCTTTTCGCATGAATTTTATCTAATCAAAAAAGTGAAAAAATGATGTAAAAAGTTCTAAATGGTTAAACGGTTAACCAAAAACAGGTCTTTGTGGTTTGATAGTTATATAACCCTACCCACCTGTGTGTAAACACACACACGTGTATACACACACATTTGAGTTTGAGATTTTAGTTGGTATTTATCTTCCGTGTGTGTGTGTTTCCATGCTATATTAGATTATTAATATGACTGATGCTTTTTGTAATATCTACGGGTGGCAATCTATCAATTATACAGATGGTCGGCGGCACCGCTAGGAAGGCAGGGCATGTAAGTAGTCTGTCACGTCATGAGGCTCGTCTATCGTGAGTTGATTTTCTTCTGCTACATGCCACCAGGAAAGCGTGTAGTTTGAAAGCTGAACTGAGTTGGCTATTGCCCGTGGTCGTCTGACCTTTGACATTTGATCACCGAGCTTCTGATTTGCTTACCTTGTTATTACTGCTGCCTGTAGTTGATCCCGTCAAGTTTTGTTACATCCAACGTGACCGGCTGCATAATGACAATGAACTCTTACAATACATCGATATTTTCGGCTGGTGCTAGTCCTCATTATTAACGTTGTTAAATCCTGATAATTCAAGTGCTTCCCACATTGTAGTAGTATGTTACCACAACGAAAAATACCATTAGTGTTTGATTTGATGATTTTCAGTCTGTGTGCTGCAGAAATCATGAAGATTTTAATGAATGGGAAACAAAGGAAATTTGTCATTCTTCTATTTAATTCTAGTGTTACTAAGTGAATGATGGACTAAGTGCTTACGCGAACAGTCACTTTTTCATAGTCATATGTTTTAATCTAACGTTGTAATCGATGTGTAAATAAAAAACTATTTTCGAATAAATCCATTATATGACGTGTTTTGGAGAAAATCACTTAGTTTCAATAACCCAATGAAAGAAGATGAAACTAACGCACATGTCCTCGATATGAAATCAAGATCGTGGGGAACAAATGTGCACGTTGCACATCTATAAACATAGATTAATTGCATTTAAAACTGATTCATTCCCTTTCTTTCTCTTTGTGAATGGAGTGGTTAGAACACACGAATCGAACCGAATACCCCCGTCCCTAGCTGTTTTGATGCAAAGTGGTTAAATCATAAATAGTTACCAAAGCAATTAGTAACTTACATTACTCATGTTTAATATCGTAGTTAAACTAGAGGCTCAGAGGGGCGATACCGCCTCCGGGTATTGTACCACTAGCTGTAGTAAGTGCATTCGAATCATATGGAAAACAAATAAGGGACACCACCTCCAGTGTTGTGTTTGGCAAGCTCTTACAAATACAATAAGCAAGAGTTTCCAATATTTTTGTAGAAAATTGCAATTTATTTCAAAATCCTGGGGAAAAGTAAAAGGTGAATATAAGACTTCCCATCTAAGTTCAGTGGTAAATATAAGAGCTTGAAAATTTGAGAAGTGTGGTTCATGGTGAAAAGTAGGTCAAAGGTCAAATTGAAGGTCACAGTAAGATTACCAATATATGACTTCCTATTCAAGTTCAGTAGTAGGTATGGGCATATCTCTAAACTTGCAAAATGCAGTTCATGGTGAAAAATAGGTTAAAGGTCAAATTAAAGGTCATAGTAACATTGCCGATATATGACTTCATATACAAGTTCAATAGTAAGTAGGACGTATATCTTTCAGTTTTGAGGATATGAGGGTCGGAAAATTTGCCGAGTGCAGTTCACGATGAAAAGTAGGTCAAAGGTGAAATTCAAGGATACAGGACGACTGTCAATATATGAGTCCCTATTTAAGTAACTATCTCTGCCATATCTCGGCATATCTCTGCCAGTTTTGGAGATCTAAGGGTCGGAAAATTTGCAAAGTGCAGTTCATGGGGCAGGTCAAAGGTCAGTTACAAGGTCATAGTTACATCGCCAATATATGACTTTCTATTCAAGTTCAATGGTAACTATGGTGTATCTCTGCCAGTTTTGGAGATATAAGTGTCGGAAATTTCAAAAGTGCATTTCATGCTTAAAAGTACACGTAGGTTAGAGGTCAAGTTCAAGGCCACAGTAAGATTGCCAATATATGATTTTCTATTCAAGTTTAATAGTAACTATGGGCGCATCTCGGCAAGTTTGTATAAGCCTCGGCGCCAATAGTTGCGGGTTTGCATTCTGCGTATTACTAGTAGGTTCTGCTTGTTCTTTAGAAACTGGCCGGGCTATACATCTGGATTGCTCTGAAAAAAAAAATCATTCCCCTTGACATGTCGCGGGTACATGTATCAACGAAATGCTAAATTTGGTGACTGACATTGCGCAGGGTAAAACGAAGATAGCCATAATATTGATTTTGATGAAAGTGATCCATGATAGAGAGCTTTAATAGACCAGGGAGACAAAACAATCACCTGGTCCATCTCTTTTGATGTCCAGTTAATTGTATCTTTCGCTTCATATTGCTCTCGTTGCTCTAATTATTGCATTAGAGCGCTTAGGTGCACCGAGGTTTAACAGACAAGACGATTTCAAAATCGTAAGGAATTATCATTGTTGTTGACCTTTAGATCACACCGCTTGGCAACCTTTTTATCGCCTTACTTCGGGAATATCAACGTGAATCGAAGCGGTAGACCCCTTGATACATCAATCTTTGTTGAACCAAGACAACCACACTTTTCTGATATGAAATTGTGATTATTTTTACGTTAATAAACTACTCCCGAAAATACTCAACCAAAGATCTGTAGAGGAGTTCTTAGTGTGTGTGTGTGTGTGTGGGTGTGTGTGCGCGCGCTTGCGTTTAATTTACAATATCATTCCGGCATATGCGTCTTTGGCACTGTGTTTACTATTAAACTTAGGCGTACTCAACTTTACGACAGTTCATTAAACAATACTTGATGAGTTTAGGTAAGCTACGTGACGGTTTGAGTGCTGTATTAGCAACTACACCACGGCGTGTTTTTTAAATAGAGCAAAGTTAGTCATTATACCATTAGTCAACCACCATATTTCATGTCAACAATAACTTGATTGACATCCTTTTTAAACGACCCTGGTAGGTAGACATTTGATTTGCGCAGAAAACCTTTCACAAATTACATACATGCATTATTTTGTCCATTTCTTGTTACGAAGCTATTTTCATATCTGCTTATTCGTTTATTAGTATAATGTTTACTTAGCTATCGGTTAACAGTTTTTTAGATTTCAAAATTTGTATTTACCATTCAGTCCAGAGAAGGTATATTTAATTTTTGTAACAATTACTGTCTGGGAAAAAGAATCTCGCAAGTTGAGGTCAAAATGAAAGTGCCACATGCATTCTTTTTATGTACAGACTCATCGTGTCTGTACATAATGGGCTCAACCGAACCCCCCCCCCCCACCCACCCCCATTGATACTAACCGATTTAACAGATTAACAATCCTCCATTTGTTTCCAGCTTTTCTGCATTCTAATCAACGTCGGGAAAAGGCGTGTTAATATATTAAAATAATTGCATTCAGCGAGAGTCCCCGTGGAGTTCAATCGATCTGCGTATACCGATAATTTCAATGGGAATGAGCCCATTGTCACAACCTGTCGGAGTTGTCATCGTGCACTATCGGATATAACGCGATAAGGGGACACCCTTTTTTAACTTTTGTCTCCAAAATAACAAAACGTAGCATACACATTTGTAAAATGCAATTAGAATTTAAAAAAAAAAAACAGTTCCAAAAGTTATGCTGTCTTTTTTCCAGCGTTAATGCGGTGCAGATAACACATTAGGTGGAAAACCAATAAGCATATTGTCTTCAATTTTACAAGGCCGATGGATTTTTGGCTTAGAAGATACAGCCTGATCAAAATATTACTCTTCAAATTATTCATTTTTTTTCTATTTTTGGAAATGTTCCAATTTTTACATATTGACAATTTCATGGTGTGGCTTTGAACATCCTTGGGCCTGAAGCAATTTGCTAGTTGCATATCCATGTTATCTGTAGTAAACATAACATAAAGTGGTGGTGGTAATTTATGCCATTAAGCATTACTTAACTTTGCATCAAAATTGATTGAAAAACGCATTATCTGCATCGTCACTGTTAGCAGTATAAAAGGGAAAAAAAGTGTCATTTTCTATCGTCAAAATGATCCAAAATGATATTTGAGTTGAAAACAGCTTAAGGTGGAAAAGCAGTCTTATTATTATTAGTTTTTTTCGTTTTTTTTTTGATTTATGCAATTTTGTGTGAAATGATAATTTTTCAAACATTTGCATTTTGAAGGTGTGGCTTTGAACTTCTATGGGCCTAAAGTCCTATGCGATTTACATTTTCTGACAATTTAGTTTAAAATTGGTGGTGATTATGCCCTATGTAATATTGCATCAAAAATG